GGGGTTTCACCATGTTAGCCAGGATGGTCTCGATCTCCTGACCTTGTGATCCGCCCGTCTTGGCCTCCCAAAGTGCTGGGATTATAGGCTTGAGCCACTGCGCCCGGCAGAACTTCTTCATCTTCCCAAAATGAAAAGAGATCCTCCCACCCTCAGCCTCTGGAACAACTAGGACTACAGGCATGCCTAATTTTTTTTTTTTTTAGATGGAGTCTCGTTCTGTTGCCCAGGCTGGAGTGCAGTGGCGCCATCTCGGTTCACTGCAACCTCTGCCTCAGGGGATTCAAGCCATTCTCCTGCCTGTATCCATTAAATAGAACTAAACAGTGACTCCTCATTTTCCCTCCTCCCAGCCCCTGGGAACCTCTAGTCTACTTTCTGTCTCTATAAATTTATCTTTCCTAGGTATCTCATAAGTGGAATCATACAGTATTTGTCATTTTATATCTGGCTTATTTCACTTAGCAAAATGTATTCAAGATTCATTTATGTTATAATATGTATCAAAATTTCATTCCTTTTTCTGGCTAATTTTCCATTGTATGTATATACCACATCCTTTTTGTTGTTGTTGTTTTTTGGTTGTTTTCTGGTTTTTTAACCTAAGCTCTACAGTACTTTTATGTTTATTTTTGCTATTTTTTATTTATTTTTTTTGAGACGGAGTTTCGCTCTTGTTGCCCAGGCTGAAGTGCAATGGCGCTATCTTGGCTCACCACAACCTCCGCCTCTTGGGTTCAAGTGATTCTCCTGCCTCAGCCTCCCGGTAGCTGGGATTACAGGCATGCGCCACCACGTCCGGCCAATTTTGTATTTTTAGTAGAGACGGGGTTTCTCCATGTCGGTCAGGTTGGTCTTGACCTCAAGTGATCTGCCTGCCTTGGCATCCCAAAGTGCTGGGATTACAGGCGTGAGTCCCTGCGCCTGGCCTTTTTTTTTTTTTTTTTTTAAAGAGATGTGCTCTCACTCTGTTGCCCAGGCTGGAGTGCAGTGGCTGGATCCAGAGCTCACTGTAGCACTGACCACTAGGCTCAAGAGATCCT